AAGAGTTACTGGGCTGTTTGTGCCAGCACTGCTACAGAAGAAATGCCTCTACATCCATCTGTTCCTCACAGGATCATTTGTAAAGGCTTTAGTGAGAGCTGATTATTCTGGGCAATTTCTGTAATTGAAAAAAGAAAAAAAAACCAGCAATCTTAACTATAAATGCCATAGTGTGAGATAACACTTCAATAAAAATCCTGTATGACTTAAGAATATTAACATACATCAAAGAAAAAGCTTGCCTGATATATATAATGAATACATTGCATTATTTTCACAGTTGTGTACTACAGAATTCATGGGCACTTCCAAAAGTTATCAAATTATTCCAATATATAGGAATAACTTGGTGAAAGATGAACCAGCTGCTGTCATCCAACCATTTATCAAAATAGTGCACTATTTAGATTTACAGTAATCTTGGATTAAAGGAAAATAATTTTTTAAAAAGTTTTTTTAATCCGTCAGAGCTCAAAATACGTAATGGGAAAAACGTATTTGCACAGAAAGAGTATGCTGAAGCTCCATTTCAATTTTATGAGCAAGAGTATCAAAGTTTGATCAAGTGGTCACTTATTAGAAAAGTTGCACTTTCAAACAAAAGGGGCAGACTGACTCACAGACCTATTAATGATATAAATCTGTTAAAAGGTTTATAATGGCTATAGTTCCATGGACACTTTTAATCTGTGCACTCAACACTGCTACTTTAGTGAGTACTCCTGTTCTTTCTCTCAGGCCAGCACAAGTATTTGTACAGTTAAGGGGTTTGAAGAAATTGATTGGAGTTGAGAGTGAGCCTTTTTTTGCCCAGGGTAACAGATTCTCATATCGATTGACTACACAGCTGCAGGAACAGAACAAGCAAAAAAACCAAACCAGTATGTCAGAGGCTGGGGCTATCGTTTTACAAAATGCAGTGAACCACCAAAACACTAAGACCCTGCTCCCGGCACCATGCCCATGTTATTTATCTTGTATTAGGTCCAGCACTCCTAAAATACCTGGATGGAATTTTTCAGCAGCCATGTAGATTTAACCTGGGTTAAAGAAACCATATAGATGTGGCTATGGTTGTACTGTTACTGACAGTTATATAATCATGCAATAAAACAAGGCCACTAAAGTGATCCAAGTTAAAAATAAACATAAATTTCTTGCCCCTCTTTTTTGGAAATTCTCCTCCTTTTTTTTTTTCCTTCTTTTTTTAAGACCAGACAATTTCAGTGATCCAGCATGTAGTTCAACCTCATAAACAGCTGCAGTGGAATAAAGAAATGAATAGGATACTGGGAAGCAAGGATATGAAAACCTTGTAAGTGGTTTTGCTAGAAAACATTATCAAGCCATATGCAACCACAAGGCAAGACCAGAGGGTATATATAGTCAATGTACAACACAATGTTGACACTTAATACAGTACTTGGGCAGACATGTTCAAAACTGAAGGCAGCATATTAAAAACTTACTTAATATACTGGACTATAAACAAAAGCAATCCATAAAACCATGCAAACTTCCTTGTTACGTGGATAGGAACTAAAAGATATGTGGAACAGAAAACTGGGGAAAGAAACTATTAACTGCCTCTGCTTATGATCAGATTCCCAACTAGCACTGCTGCATTACCCTCAGAGCAATGAGATCTGCTCATGTAATGGTATATGAAGCATCTAAAGACTCTCAGAAGGCTTTGGACCAAGAAAGATGACACACAGCACACCTGGGTCATAGCAGACTTCATCAATGGTTTTCTTTCTTGCCTGGAGGCTTGCTATCCAGACCTAAAATCAGATGTGTAGCCTACACTTTCTAAAAATATGGGTTTACGTTCTGTTCCTTTCACTAAAGCTCTAGCATTACCAGAATTAAACCAGGGCTTTCTTGGGTCTCTCTGCTCTCTTCTACCTGCAAGATCTTTACAAGGTGATACGACAGGTACATCAGACCTGCTGGAAAAGTAAGCTAAAACTTATGACCTAGCTCCTCAGGAAAAGGGAACAGCAGGGCAATCTTTGGGAAAGCAACACTACAAGAATACATCCTGTGAGGCAAAAAGGATGTCAGAAATACGGCTAGATCTGGAAAAGCTATAAGTTGTCAAGTCCTTTAATTTTGTATTTCTATAAAGAAAGACTTCTTCCCTCATAGTAAGTATTCCTCTGGGTTTGCATCCTTCAACATACAGTTTACTTTGAGGGACACTGAAGAAAAAGAATTTGAAACAGGATTTCAAGACTTATCAGGATCTGTTCTGCAAAGTCTTATGATTAGCATGTCAAATTTAGTGTAACAACACCACAGTATATACTGCATAGTAGCTGACTGTGATTTTGATAAATTGTTGAAAGATAAATAAAAAAGTTACTTGACTTTTTACTGGACTTGACAGTCCAGGTATCCGCAGGGTATTCAGCC